AGTAGCAGTAGTAGTAGTGGTGGTGGTGGTGGTGGTGGTGGTGGTGGTAGTAGTAGCCGCTAATGGTGGCCTGACAACCAGACTTAAACACAAGGAATCTTGCCTCCGAACCAAAATATTTTATATATATGAGAAGATTAAAATGGAAATATTAAGACACTTCGTGAAAAAAAAAAGGTTGGTGATAGAAGATGAGTAGTTTGCTACAAGGTCTTTTGAACTCTATTTTCTATACAGTGTCAGCGTGATGCGTTGTTTTCAGAGGGCTATTTTTAAGCGCTACATTCTGTTTCGCTACAGGTGACAGTAGTGGGCACGCGGGTCCTCCAGGGTGTGCGGGCCGTTGACGCTGATCAACAAGGGCCTTACTCTACTGTCCAGTATTCTGTATTGCCCGGCCAACATGCGGTAAGTTAAGCGGCCACTCAGATGGCGCATCTCTTTGTTGGAAGCCGAACTCATCTCCTTCCTACTATGTCGCCCCATCGCCTTCAGGTTAAGCAGAAAGAAAAATGGCTTCCGGTGACAGAATCCCTATTCTTAAATCTAGTTAAGAATATCCTTAGATCTCTCTCTGAATTCTAAATCAAGGAATTAAGGGAAATTAATGTGATTAAAAGAAAGAAAACACTAACATAACCATTTGATGCCCTTCTGCATATCTGTGTCGGGTAAAAATTCTTGGTTTCAATAATTGTGTCGATTTGATAACGCTGCCTAATCAGGTCAAAAGTTTATCGCGACTGAACTCGTGGAAACTGAGATCCTGTAACTGTGGGGATAACTCTTTAATCCCCTAAAATGTAGACTCATTACGAATATAGGGACATTTCAGACAGAAGTACACCGCGTCTTCTTGTAGGTGGATACAAATTCTTTGGAGAGTAGAAATTTGTAAGGTGAAGAATCGATTCTGTTACACATGGAGACTGCAAGGAAGAGGGCCACTCACAGCCACACGGCTCTACAACACCACACAAAGTTACGACTCAGAAGATCCACAGCCTGGACAACTGCAGCAGTGGGAATTTCAGACTTGTTCCACCGTCATCCGCATGCTGTGGGCACGTTCCAGACTCACTCGATTGAAAAGCCAACTCCATCGAGTTCACTTGTTTCCACACCATCAGTCTTGACATTTCAAGGTTCAAGCATCAGGGCGAGTCGACTTTTCTGAAATCTGACCCTGTGGCCGGCTAAGATCATTCTGTACTTCCCTGATAGTTTAGACTTCCGCCATCTAATTCTTGGTTTATTTAATAATGCTTATTCAGCAGCATAAGTACTGTCACCACAGATTGGTACAATTCTCGTGGATCAATGATGGGACGCCCTTTCTGCAGGCGAATCCTGTCTTAGAGCTGCTACTCGTTTACATTATCGGAAAAAAGGATTAAGAAGAATGTAGATTAATCCGTAATTCTGTGAGTGCGACCAGTAAAGTTTACAAATAAAAACAATAAAGAAGAGAGGTCTTAAAATATCTCTCACAGCCTTGTTCGAAATAGGTTAATATGTAACAGTCTGTAATTATTTAAATTCTTCTGTGGAGGAAGGTTAGAATACCTCCACCGTAGCCCTGCGAGTAGTGAACGGCGACGGAATGGCATCTTGTGCCTGGATCTATAACTTCCCCTACCTCTTGTTACTGAGAGACAAATACACAGAGACCTGGCCTTCCAGGTCGGGGGTTGGGTGCAAGGCTGACAAACTTGCTCTGTAGGCCGCGCCATAACTCAAGCGGTTAGTCGCTGGCTTCCCACCGCGGCGACCCGGTTCGATCCCGGGTCTGGTCAAGTGGAATTTGTGGTGGACAAAGTGGCGCTGGGGCGGGTTTTCTCCGAGTACTTCGGTTTCCCTTGCCAATCTTAATTCCACCAAATTCTCCATCATCATAATTATCCGGGGCAGGCTACGATAAGCCAATCAGTGGCCGCTGTGCCGAGTGGACCCAGTTGGACTCCACCTCCACTAAGCGAACTTGCTCTGTAAAAAAAAAGTCTGTTGTGAAATCCAAAGAAGTGAAGACCAGATAAAATCTGACAGAATCTTCTAGGAAATGCTATGGCTCAAGAAGGGCGGTTTTGTCAGTGATGATAACGAAGATTAGTTACTTAAAAACTTACGTCAGAAAACTAGATCTCTGTCAAGTGCTCTTACTTTAAAGACGAGAGATGTTGCTTAGTTACTAACATCAACTGCCTAAGATGATGCCACATGTGTCAGGGTACCGAAGCATGTCGTCACATTTGAAACTGATTCTGTGCAGGATTATTTCGTGTTCGTGAACGGGCTGGAAGGTACCCTGCTGCTCCGCAAGCCACTCGATTATGAGACCCTGTCCAACTTCTCTGTCGCCATCAGAGCACAAGTAAGTACTGTAACAGCAGTCATCTTCATTCACACGTGCATGTACTTCTCATTAATGGCTAGAGAACTGTTCTTGTTTTGGAATAAACCAATTAGTTTTGTAGTATGAAAACCTAAATGATACAACATAAAAAACTTTAATTATACTTGTTATTTTTTATGGTTGAGAAAGTCTGTCTTTCATCCTAACGGAAGAACGTAGATTGAGGGCGTGCGAGAACAACGTTAGAAAAGTCCGCGCTGCAGTTTTCTAAATAATGATACATTGTACCTTGGGGTGCATATGCTAAAGTTTCAGGACATATTGCTTCGATCTTCTATTCTGATGGACCTCGCTGCCATGAAAACCTCAGAGTTTTACAAAGGAACAAAGTACTGAGTATAATATTTGAACCTAAGAGAGGGAGTAGCAGACGTGTGGAGAGAGTTACGCTACAAGGAGCACAATCATTTGGATTGTCATCGGATAGTGCTAGGGCTATCCAGTAAAGACAGATGAGGAGGATGTGTGGAATAAAGTGGTGCACAAATGCGCATGGGGCAAGAATACGTGACGCAGCAAGTAGCAGCACCGGGACTGGTCGGGGTGGTACTATGACCAGCTGCACTCGTCTGTAACTTGGGAACAAAGCTCTTGTGAATGGCCGATACAACTTGGAAATATTAATACTAAAACTGATCACCGATAAATAGGGTGTTGGTGGGTGGACTCGATTGAACAGGCTCAGGATAAGGCTTAATTAACTTTTGGGTTCCATTAAAAACAGGAAATTCTTGAACTAGTTGAGGGCCCTCACCTCTGCAAGGACTCCGTTCACCAAGTGTATTTGTCTCACCCGCAGGACCAAGGCTCCCCCCCGCAATTCTCGGACACGGTTCTGTACGTCAACATCATCGACGCCGACGATCAGAACCCACGATTTTATGATGATCGATACACTGCAATACTTCCTGACAATCCGACGCAGGTAAGTTGTGAAGTTGTCCTTCCTTGACGGCAAGAAAACGGTCTGAGTCTGTGATGGACAATTATTCTCGAGACACAAGGAATTATTTGAAGCGATGCAAAATGCGAATTCAATAGTTTAACAGAATTAATCTATAAGGAATCACCAGAATGCAGGGCAGAATCATGTCAAAAATGTCCTTTGAAAATGTGGCACAGTTCAGATATTTGGGAACAACAATAAAAAATCAAAGCCTGATCCATGAGGAAATTAAGAGGAGACTGAATTCAGGTAACGTTCGCTACAATTCAGTCCTGAGCCTTTTGTCTTTTTGTCGCTCTCTAAAAAAAGGAAAAATTGGAGCATACAAAACTATAATTTTGCCTGTGGTTCTGTATGGGTTTGAGACTTTGTCTCTGACATTAAGGGAGGGACATAGACTGAGGGCGTTCGAGAACAGGGTGTTGAGGGGAATATTTGGACTGAAGAGAGATGAACCTACAGGAGGTTGGAGAAAACTGCATAATGAGGAGCTTCATAACTTGTACGTTTCGCCAAGTATAATTAGAAAAACAAAGTCAAGGAAAATGAGATGGCAGGGAATGTAGCACGAATGGGGAGCAGAGGCATACATATAGGATATTGGTGGGAAAGGCAGAAGGAAAGAAACCACTAGGAAGACCAAGACGTAGGCGGATGGATAATATTAAAATGGAACTCAGAGTGATAGGATGGGATGTTATGGACTGGACTGATATGGCTCAGGATAGGGACCAGTGGAGAATTCTTGTGAACACGGTATTTAATCTTTGGGTTCAATAAAAGGCTGGGAAGTTTTTGAATAGATGTACAACTGGCGGCTTCTCAAAAAAGGCTCAGCTCCATGAATTTAGTTAGTTAGTAAATCTGTAAGGAATACAATCACAAATATTTTTACAACAAACTATCTTTAATTTAGCCTTTTACACCTTCTTGTGCTGTCATGGATTAAGCACTGAGAGTTTATGGGTACTGTAGCCTGTAAACATGAAATATACTCAAATTTCACACAGAAACTGTAATGTGGTTCCTTGCATATGAAAAAGCAAAACGAAGACTGGAATAAATCATAGCATACGACAAGGTTACGCGATACTCTGTACAACGCAGTGATGCAGTAGAATGCTCAAATGCCTGTACGATCCGAGACTCAGTGCTGATACCGGAAACACTTCCAACTGTGCAATTATCCTGAGGGATGTGTTCCAGGGAACGCGTCTGTTGATACAGCCTCGGGACATCGCTGCCTATGACCAGGATCTCGGGATCAACGCTGCCATATTCTATACGTTCAATTCGGGTGAGCTGACGTCACGAAAGTCTCTAAACCAATAATTAACTCACACTCGTTATTCAGAACGAACAAGATGTACTAACAAAATATATAATATAAATTTTAAAATTCTGGCTCTTGTGAACACAGCAGTGAACTTCCTGGTCTCATAAATTGCTGGGAAGTTCTTGAGTAGCAGCACAATTGGTGGCCTCTCAAGAAGGGTTCAGCTCCATAAGTGAGTNCAAATTTTAAAATTCTGGCTCTTTTGAACACAGCAATGAACTTTCTGGTTTCATAAAATGCTGGGAAGTTCTTGAGTAGCTGCACAATTGGTGGCCTCTCAAGAAGGGTTCAGCTCCATAAGTGAGTGAGTGAAGTTTTAAGATATTCTCTGTGATGACTGTTCAGAGTGTGGTCTTATGGATTGTGACACCATAGAGATTTGTCGGTGGATACAAACGTTTCGGAGGTAGCATTTTCCTCTGAAACGTTTGAACCCATCTATAAGACTACATGGTGTCACAATCAGGAATATCAGAATCCTAAATACATATAAACTACCTAAGCAGTGGCTACAGTAGTCTTCATAAATATTTTATGAGGTTAACCTAAATTCAGGTGATAGCTCTGAAGGATCTGATCTACTGTCTGATTTTGGGGTGTGTTTAACAAGAACATTCCTAATACGAAATTTAATCAAAATTCATTTTTAAGACAAGTCTAGAAAACTTCGCACATTTATAAAATGAGGATGAACACGATTTACCTAAACTTCAATACCAGAACTTGATTACATAAAGAATTACACCTTTTGCACGTACTTATTTCATTGGATCAGTTTAGATAAAGTTGTTGACAAAAGTTGGAGCTTCAATTTCTAGGCCTGTCTAATGTCATCTAATGAGCATGGAGCAAAGTTTATGTTAAGCAGAAAATGAAAACAAGTTCAACTTACTGCCACCGAAAGTCGGTTAAAATATATATTAGAAGATTACTATATGCTATTACCTGGGTTTCTAAATTTTAAGATGATTTATTCTTTTTAAGGAGGAGCAGACTACAGGTACTTCGACATAGACCGTAACTCTGGCCACGTGACCATCAAGAGAACCATTCCGGACGACGACCTAATACAACCAGCAACGCTTGTTGTCAGGGTAAGAAAATGCGTCGCATGTAAATAAAGTTTCTTCCAACCCAGTCTCGTGTTAATATGACGCAATATATTACAGTTATCGCAAAAAAAGTGTGAACTTTTGCATAGGCATTAAAATTTATATTAGCCACCAAACTCTACGTTAGCAGTTCCATTTCAGAGTCATTAGTATCATATATATATATATATATATANAGAGGAGAGAAAGAAATATATTTAATGAACGAAGTTGGCACGATATATGTTCGCTCTGCATGATGAGCGGTGAAGCAGTTCAGCCTACGACTCATCCAGGAAAGTGAAGATAATATTATTCAACACAACATTATAAAATAGCGCATTTCGTTAAAATGTGATCCTACAGAAACAGAGTTCAATGAATTCACTCATAAATGTCATTAGCGGCCGTTATCCTCTCGGTGTGGGTTAATTCAATGTTCCCGACTAATTTATACAGTGATACTGTGACTTAAGTCGTTTTACTTTAAATCAATATAAAAAGGTCAGTATATAAAGGAACAATAATAGAGTTACAATATTATGTCATTATGTAATTATCATTATTCATCCACATAGTTTAGCTCTCTTGTACTTGTTCCGTCATCAGGAAAATCTGTTAGTAAAATAGTCTCATCTCCATTTAGGTCTGTCTACGTCTCCCCTTCCAGGCGGTCTGCGCTTCATAATCTTCTTGAGAAAGCTTCCTTCGTCATTCTCACTACATGCTTCTATCAATCTGAATTCCGTTTTCATATTTTTCTGTTCACCATATAAATATTCAATTGCTGTATTTTATCAGTGTCCATAGTCTGATTTTGACCAACTGTGCCCCGAAACTTGTCTCAGAAATTTCATTTCAGCGCTTGTGTTTTACATTTATCTGATCTTCTGATAGCCAAGTTTTCGCGCCCATGTTAGGCCAGGAATCACCGGAAGTGCATAAAATTTCGACTGCGAGTTTCTGCACGTCTTCCTTCTCCCTGGTGCCCCACGCATTGTTCTGCAAAACATTTGGAACGTACTTAATTTTATACAACATCTCAATCCTGTCGAAAGAAAACTGCAATCAAAATAATAAAATATTGTCACTAATTCTGTTGCTTCATCATTCATTACTGATTTTGGTCTTACAGTGCGTCTGCCTATAAAAGAAATTGCTTTGTAGTTAATACATTGATGTTAAGATAATTTAAAACATTCTTTCCTTAACAGCTATTTGTATCTCATTATTTGTTCAGTTTGTTCTCCCTCGCCAAGCACCACCGCACAAACATTAGCATTACAAGACAACAAAACTGAGACAGTTTAATTATCCATACAGCGGTCCATAGCCCAAACTTATGCTCTCATATCCGGGGAGAAAACAATGAGTGTTTTCATAATTATTGCCGGCGTCTGCACCCAGTATTCTCACTTCTAACAGTTGTCCGCGTATATTTCGTATTGCCTTTATACGAATGTCTGCGACTTAAAACGCCGAAACATTTAACCATTTAATTATTTTGCAATAAAATTAATATTTTCTGAAATCTAAATTTGTATATGCATTTAATACAACGAGAACACAACCACTCACTTATCTATACTGACGCAACGTAAACAAGTCATGAAGATGGTGGGGATAACGGTCCTCGAGGCTTCCACCTACTTCTATATTCCCTCCAGTCCCCTCTGGAGTATGCCGAGAGCCCGAAGCTCTTGTCGCTAGGTAACGGAGATAACAGCTTAGCGGCTGGGGACGAAGTGTAATACCTTGAGGGGGATGAGATGGGGCCGACCTGTGGGACCTCTTTCCGTGGCTTCAGTGTATTACTGTCTAGTTTACGAGTATATCGATATTTTACTGTATTGATAAAATTCTTTGTTATAGGCAACTCAGTACGATAACCAAGATAGATACGCCCTGGCCACACTGACGGTAAGCCGAGCAGGAACAGTTCCCAGAGAACTGCAGTTCCTACAGAAGAATTACCTTGCTGGTGTCCTGGAGAACGCCCCTGTCAACAGTATCCTGCTCGCTGTCGTCACGAACAAACCCCGAGACAAGGTGAGAAAATTCAAATAGCAGATTATTGCAAATGTTAACACAATTGTAGCAAATTTTGTTTAAAGAATTCTGTCTCCTCTCAAATTAAGGAAAGAACATGGCCAGGGGTATTTGGAAACAGGGTGCTGAGAAGAATAGTTGAACTTCAAGTGGCGTAAGTGACAGGAGGTTGGCAAAATTTGTACAATGAAAAGCTTCATAATTTATACTCTTCGACAAAGAGCGATAAAATGAAATAAGATTAGATGAGAGAGAATCTAGCTCATATTCGAGAGATTAGGAGCCCACACAAAGTCTTTGTCGAAGAACCTGAAGAGAAGAGATCAACTGGAAAAACCTAGGCGTTGATGGAGGTGGGTCTTCACGAAAAAGACTGATAGTGTTGAAGATCCATCTGGCTGAGGAGAGAGAACCTGGGAAGACTTGAAGAGTCATACGTTGTTATTATTAAGGGTATGACATTTAGGAAAGTACACAGGTCAGATTGTCATTAGGAAAGAGTGAGAAAACTATGGAACGCGTGCCGAAGTCACCCTAAAAGAAATCTGTCCAGGGAGAGGTGATAATCTGGTTTTATTAATAATAAGGAGATTTATCAATGTTTGTCTCGTTTTCCTTTCTTAATGAAAGAAAGCAGGTTTACAAGAACCCCATGCAGTGTGTGTGTTTGCCATGCGTCCTTTCAGCCTTTGAGCTACTACACTGCTGTTGACAAAACTTGTTAGGGAACGTTTTTCATTGGAGCCCACCCAAATATCGCAAATTTTAATTCGCTGTGAACGTGGTTGTCGCGCGAAATTCCAAGATGGGAGCGACATTAGCAAAAATTAATTTTAACTCATAAAATTATGTAGGTTAATAGATGTTTGAAAAATACGCAATTTTCATCTAGGTAATGTTTGTGTAGAAAGCAAAGGAACTCCATGATGGTCATGAGAAACATTTTTCCCAACTGTCGGTTTGGTGGTGATCATTCATTATAAGTATATTAAATTTGAAACAGAAATATATCATCAAAAAATTGCTTATTATACATGTATAATAATATTTATAATTAACCGTTATATACATTGCAATGGTATGAAACTTTGGGATTATATCCATAAAATTTTGGATGAACAGACTCTGTACTTGCGTAACTGCATAAGAATTCACAAATATAAAGTAATAATAATAATAATAATAATAATAACAGTACTAGATCTGTAGCACTAGAAATCTATATAAAAGTAAAATAGGCTGTTTAAGTTCTGCTAGGAAGTCCTTGTTCTTTCCCGTACTTCATACACAGAAAATATTATAATCACAAAAACTAATACAGATTGAACGTTGACATAAAATTAAGTGTGCCTGTACTTTATGTCCTTATTACAATTTGCATTTACCCTACAGCTGGGTATTAGATAGCCGATGGTGGTCAACCTCGGGTTCGATCTAATAGGCATCTTTAACACTTTATGAACACTAATCGGAGTTTAGCACACCGAATCCAAAATAATTAATAATAATAAAATCTTATATCTATAATATGGATCAAATGGCAGCCACTATAACCTCTCTGAACTGCAGACTTCATTACGCGTGGCTTCGGCCTGCAGTCATATGGTAATCGAACCGTCACGCCTCCGTGCAAAGTTAATTACCCACTTCTCCTACAAGGACAGGACGGCCACTTAAAAATTCAAACACAACCCATTAATTCGTTAAAAATTTGTGAGAAAAGACAGATATAGCTGCATGATAGGCCTATGATAAGTTATCACTTCCGCTTAATATAAATAAAATACGCTAAAAATACACTAAGAAGGTAGATGATTTAGATGAAAATCCAATCCCACGATATTTGATTGACCCCCAAAAAGAAAATTTTGTTCCTAACATATATCTGCATCTGTGTGTGAGGACCCAAAGCGTTGCAATCTTTCGTTGTTCTGGCATCCAGAAAAAGGGTCAATTATATTTATAAATACCCGTATTACATCTTAGCGTCATACCATGGTGACGAAATAAAATAAACAAATGTATATTTTATGTTACATGTTCAAATGGATTGCTTTCATAATTATTTGCAGAGACTTCGGTTCTGGCTTGAAGGTACTGTGCCCCCGGGCATGTTCAGCGCAAGTTCTGCTGGAGACATAATCCTGAGGCAACCTCTAGACTATGAGAAGGTGGATTTCTACAGCTTTCTCGTACACGTCACTGACGGAAAAACGGTGCGTAAATCTGTCCAGCCAGTTTACCCCCTGAGCAGAAAGGAAGGAGATAATGCTCATAGATAAAAGAATCTTAGGCGTAAGTTCTGTTTCGGTACTGAAATTTTGTGAGTTTAAATGCTAATTGTAAGGGCAAAGTCTTAATGTGTTGGTGCAATCGTAAGAGATTTATCTGGATCTGATTTCCTGTAAATTTTCGAGTCCCTAGGGAAGAAGAATGAAATGCACATCCCTAATTAACAGAGCCAAAATGAGTCTATGTACATAACAATGTGCAGATGCTCCAGTCAGCATAGCGACTAGCTACAGGCTGAAGACCGGAGTTCACTTCCCGGCATGCGTAGTGGCTTTCTCTTCGCAGTGATGAACAGGCTGACCCTTGATCTCACCCAAAATCCAAGTCCTTTAGTACCAGAGACCATTTCATCGGGACAAAGTTGCTTTTCAGAACACTCGCCTACATTTTGTACAGAATTTACGAATATGAGTTGCACCTCCACTCGTAGTTGGTTGAGGCACTATGCTACAAGCCGGAAGGTCGCGGGTTCTAGTCCCAATGAGGTGGACATTTTCAATTTACCTAATCCTTCCAGCCGCATTATGGCCCTGGGGTCGACTCAGCCTCTAACAGAAATGAGTACCAGGAATATTCCTGGGGGTAAATGGCGGCCGGCGCGTAAGGCTGACAACCTTACCGCCATCTGTGAGCGATTGCCAAGAGAAAATGTGGGAACCTCGACGTCTCATAACCCTATGGGCCTCCACGGCCTATTACAGGGACAACTTTACCTTTTCACCTATAACCTCAACTACCCCAAGAGACTTTATGGTGCGATGCTCAACTGAAAGCAATGGACCAACTTCAGCTGTTCTTGTGCATTACAGAATGATACAGCAAGGGTCAATATTTCTGTACTGAATGTCAACGACTGGGAACCAAGGTTCCGCTACCCGCAGTACGAGTTCTTCATCTCGAACTCCGGCGTGTCTCCCGGCGACATTATTGGACGAGTTGAGGCAGCAGATGGTGACAGAGGCGACTTCGTCACGTTAACACTCCGAGGACCAGGAGCCAGGTGCGCATGACTTCAGACTACAATTGTAACCTCCACACAGCGTAATGACCCAGGTCAAGCAGTCCGAATTGTTTCTGTTGAACTGCGTACATTTCACCCGAAAGTGTAGGCCAAGGGCTCTGGTCTCGACGTGTCATACTGACCAGAGCAGTAGTAACACAAATCTGTAAGCTCAGCTACAAAGTAGTAGCCAAAGTACTGCTTCCTTGTTGTAAGTCTACCCGAATCACGCGTAAGACCCGAAATGAGAACAGATATGGTGAGTCAGCGTTGTCTGTATGCTGATCACTGCCAGATTTATGACTGGCAAACGTTCTAAACATAAGATCTAGTGCCTTAACGTCTAGATTTCCCGGAACGGTAGCTAAGAATTATAAATAAATTGAGCCCAGGTGAGTTACGTCGAATTTTCCGGTATCGAGTTATTTGCCTTTCATTGACTCTTGTGAATTTCAGCTAGAAGGTACATTACCATCTTCACAGCACTTCATGGAAACATCCTGAGCCAGTTGAATCCAGCCCACATTTCCACATGTAACTCCTTTGCAATCCATTTTGTTATTATCCTCCATTTTACAACTTGTTTCCAAAGTTGTTTCTTCCAGCTTTTTTCTGACTAATGTTTTGCTTTAATTTATCATCTTCCCTTGCCTACTGTTGTCCCTCCTTTTTATCCTCCTTGGTTTCATAACCCTAATAACAATTTGTAAAGAGTGAAGATTATGAAGAACGCCGTCTTCTGGGATGTGGCGCCGTGTAGATCTTTTGTGAACCGACGTTTCAGAAGAACGTATTGTAACCGTCCATTCTGACTGGAGGAGTGTTGTGTGAAAATTAAATTTGTATTAAGTTAAGATTAACAATATTACAA